TGCTGTGTTTATAATTGTTTTGGCAAATTTTCAACATTTTGAATTTTATAGACTCCTGAACAATATATTTATATTCATTATTATTGTTATGATCGTCGAATGTATTTAGAACGCCCGCTAAGAAAACAATACCGAAGTCCGAAGCAAATCGTTTACTCACAAATAAAAACGACAATGGGAAACCTTTTCGCAATACAACTATACAAGGTGATATTTTTAAGAGCCAGCATTAATTATTTCAAAAAGTTATTACTGTTTGTCGAGACGTTTATCGATTATATTATGTCATTGCAAAACAGCTTAAAAAAAAAATCATATATTTTCTTACAATTTTTAATGAACGACATTACGTAGGTACACATTTCATTTCATATTCTGAAGCAGAATATTTTAAGGAGTGCATACTTTGATACATAAAATTCATACTTTGAACGAGTAGTTAATTAGTTTTAACTCATTATAAGCGTTTGAATTATTGACGATCAGTAGAAGCCACTATATATACGTCAATGCCATGACCAAATTATGTATAAGAAAAAATTATATTCAAAAAAGTCGAGACTTTTAGAACTAATGAGTGTATCGAATGGATCACCTTGTACAATATTAGAGTAAAATCACAGTAATATAATATAAATACGTATATATATATATATATATATATATGTATATACTGTGTCGTGTCGTATTGGCTTGGAAGTCGAAGCAGTATTTCCGTCGGTCGTTTATTCGATTATACGTTCGGAAATAGTCCTTAGAAAATATAATAATAATAATAATAATAAGTACCTACTTACGTGTATAGGCCATATTATTATATTATACGTCGTGGTTTCATTGAAAACGGCCATTACGGGGGTGGTTGTTAAGAATCGTACGAATTGAATCTAATCCAACAAATGTAATTGACGAGGGGGGGGGGTGCGCGGGGAAAGCGCGCTGCAGTAGAATACGCTGCTGATGTTTGTTCGATAAAAATATGCCATAACAGTATTGTGTGCACCGCACTACAGACTACAAGTGCTAACCACAACGCTCGAGCGTTAAAAAAAAATTATTCATAATATGATATTTCACCACGGCAATTACTCGGCAATGACACTGTATAAATATAATAAATAAAATCGCTTCGACTGCCGGCGCTCACCCACATGCATGTATATATTTATACCTATTACCTGGGTATATACATATTAGGTAATACTCGAATATATAGCTCAATAAATACAAAAACCAATTTTCTACACCGCGCGACGACGTCCACTGCAGCATGCGACGATCGGCGTCGTTCGAAAATGCGATATTTTCATCGGCACCAATAACGTTTTTATTTTTTTTCATTCGATTTTTCCAAGTATAACTACCGGATACAATAATGCCTATATATACTGCATAGACACTGCAGATTTGCCCGTTCTGATTTCCCATAGTATACGCGCCACTTCATACCGTAATTGACCGACCTGGTCAATTACACACTCCGGCGACCGTAAATATTATAACTATATTGTGGTACATTATTAGTATACCTATATCCATTTCCGATTACTTCCGGGCTCACAGTCGAATCGTCGCGAGAAAAAAAATCGTGCACCTACATAATATAATATATATATAGGTACAGGTAGATTATAACAATCAGACGAGTCTTCGTCGTGTCGTACCGCGCGGGTCTGATATCGACGTATTAAATCCAACCCAATCATTTAATCATCATCATCGGCGTACAAGTGAAATCGATTTTCGCGAAAACAGCACGTCGCAAAATGTCATTAAGTATTGTTATTAGGGCCGCGGGATTTCGATGCACTTTTCATTGTACGTAGGTACTGTCCACAAAGCCAGTCCTACGCGACGTTCGTTTAATGGCATATCATTTGTCATAATAAACGTTTTGTGGTTTTAGTTTGTATCTTGTGACCATATTCGATTTTAACGTAGATTTTTTTCGATTTCGGGTTTTTAATGAATTTAACACTATAGTCTGGATTTTCTCAGATTTCACTTCAAAGTAACTTTGCAAGGCGATAACAAGGTTTTTATTTATTTTAGTGTTTAAATTTTTCAAACGGATCTATACATGACGTGAAATTACGAATGGCGATGGCATGGTTCAATGAAAATAATTATTTTTTCAGATTCACGTATAGAATTCCTCGTAATATACTTGAAATTAAGCATTCCTGGAAAATTGTTTTAAAAAAAAATACTTTCGGTTCAAAACTTGTTTAAAATAAAAATAATATTGAGTGCCATCGGGTTTATAGGTATACGAGTTTAAAAACACATAGCGACAGAGCTGTCGATATCGATATAGATATACCTTTGCGCGTGTATACTTTTTAGTTGTCCATTTCTGAAGACGAACTGGCGCCAGACGAAAGAGTGTATGAAAGTTTTGGTATAATCTGGAGTCCAAAAAATAAAGGCAAAATGTGTGGAAAAAAACGATTAAAAAATTGAAGGAAACCTGTGGTGACGGTGAACGTCGAAGGTGTGTAATGAATTCACTATATAGAAATCGTCTCTATACGTACGCACGTGTTTTTATTAATTATTGTTGTATTTTGAAACATTTTATTTTTAATGAATTTGTTTGACTAAAAGAAACTTATTGCGACAAAATTATATAAATCAATTACGCAGCACATGAGTTGTTTAAATCCGGGGTATAGAACAAAAGCAAACTTTCATTCAATCTTGTTTAATCAGCCTCTCTTCGCGCAAAACGAGTTTTTATATATGTGAATGTGACACATGGCCAAAATATCCTAGTTGAATTACTTTGATGATACACGTTGTGTATGTTTTAGTGTAATATAACATTGGAACAAAAAACAGGAGCGTTTTACCGATATATATGTGAAATGAAATAACCATTTTAGTCGTATTTAGTATGTCGATTATGTAGATTACTTTCGACTAAACGATTTTAAAAATACAATATATTATGTGACTTAAAAAAAAAAAACGATTTTCCAACAAATATTATTTATATATTCATTGGCGGGAGGAGTATAATACGCAAGAGTATACCTACATTATGTAAAAATATAAGCCCCTTTGCACCATATACGATGTGGTAAGGTGACGTTTATATTGCATTGCTAATACTAATAATAATAGTAATCAATAGGTAAATCGAAATTTATCGCAAAACCATTTCAGCGATCTTCGCCCATAATTGTTATAATAATTAATTTATGGTTTTGAAACGTGTATACCTGAAACTTGGATCGGTTTCCAGAAAGTCTTTAACGTTATGCTCTCACAATATTATCGATATTGATTTAACTCCGATATAATATAGAGGGACGGGTCTACGTCGATAAACGATATATACACACCCATTATATTGTATATTATATTCGACAGTTATTCAGTCGACCCCGTCGAGTTATTATTTCTAAATGATATTATTATTCTCGTACGCACGCGGTTTACTGATCTCGGATCGATTAGACAAATTGTTTTCGGAATATTGTCGACGAAAGGTATATCCTATGCGTACTACAACAGTGTACTCCGATAATAATATACGAAATGTATACACGGCAATATATGCACTATATAGCATTATGTAATGACGAGAACTACGAGAGAAGTAAAAAAAAAACACCCTTAGCTCCGAACGACGACCTATATAGTATATATGCAGGCGGTGTTTGGGTTTTAAATTTACAAACACTCGACTTGACGCAAACAAAACTGGATGGGAGACAATGGCGAGATGCACTCCGCCACGAGTGATCGAAAATCGGAGGCCTTTCCGCCGCCGCCGCTCTGCGTGTGGGTCTGTCTCATACTATTATAACTTGTCGGTGACGATAAACTCGTCCGTCATTAATATTGTCAGATGCACTGCGAATAATGTAATAATGTATGTACCTTGGTAATTTACCGCGGATTAGAAATCGCAAACAACCGCCGCTGTGTAACCGGTCATCATCCACACCTCGAGCACCAAATCCGCGTCCACCGCAAGTCCATAGGCGGAGATTTAAACACTTTTCCCACGAGGGAAAATAATGTGCATACATTTCAATAATATACTGAACAGTTGCACGTAATCACAGCTCACTCCACTCCCCTTCCCAAAAAAAAAAAAAATGTTCTAAATATTTTCGTTCCTCTGTCATATTATATTACCGATTGTGAAAAAACAAGGGGCGTACCTAGGGGGGATTTGGGGGTTCACCCCCCCCCCGAAATGTTAACGAATGTAGAAAAAAGACTTGCTAAATATTTTGTACAATAATATTTTAATTATTAATATTAATATTAAACCTCCCGTCACCAACCCGAAAAAATGGCATAATATGCCTGTGGCAAAAACCAATGCAATACTTATAAAATAATAAGACAAATTTTATTATAAGTGACAAATGGCGATTAACAAAATTAATATTACCACCTAAGCTATCAAAAATGTGTTAAATTTCTCAATCTTTATGGGGTAGGTACAATGGTTTGATTTTGAGATAAAAAATGTAGAACTCAAAAAATATAATCAAATTTAAATCATGTATACAAATTTAGTCCATTATTATTAATATATTCAAACATAATGAATGGTCATCAAACGTGGACTTTTTTTAAGCGGGTTGGGAGCTCATGAATTATCTGAGGGGGTTAAGCCCCCGTAACCCTAACCCAATCCCTGCCTATGGACTGTTATACGACATCGTGTTATATATTATTATATTAAACCACCGCTAAACATAATCGACAGACCTCTGTTCTACGCCGGCCGTGTGTGCTTAAGCAGGTACGGTTTTCCTCAAGCTGAAAAATGTTGATTCGAGGAAAACCGTGATCGCGAAAAACTAAAAAACTATTCGTATTAAATAAACGCTGCGGGTAAAAAAAAAAAAAAAAATTGTAAGAATAGCGTGTATTACTGTGTACAGTAAAAATTATTAATAATAATAGTGATAACTCTATGTGTATATATTACATAATAAACGTCGTCGAGATGTGACTGCAACGTGCGTACGTACCTGAGGTGCACTAGCTGAGACGGCGATTGGTTTTCTGCAAAAATACGAAATTCAATCGTTGGCCAACGTTGTATTATATATTACGGTATTATAATAATATAATGTATATAGGTGTGGACGGTGAAGACAGCTAGAACTAAGAAACGAAATAGCACCGGCGACACCACTATCGGTAACGGAGGAAATTTGATGTTTTTCCTCAGACGGGGTGTGTGCGGGGGTTGTTCGATAAATCAGGTGAAAAACAAATTCGATGGCGACGGCGACGAATAATAATTATTCATTTACTATTTATAATTTTTACTATAAAAATAATTTATTATGTTCGAGTCGAAATCGCGATGTTTTCACGCGGTCCCGGTGTACAGGGGCCTACTGAGTTCGCGAACTTCCGACTCTCGTGATCGCGTGCGCTGTAGTGGTGCGGTCGTCGTACTCGGTTTCTTCGCGCGATTCTGTGCGTGTTCGTGTGTGTGTGTGTGTGTGTGTGTGTGTGTGTGTGTGTGTGTGCGAGTGAGTGTGTGTGTGTGTGAGTGTGCGCGAGTGCGAGTGTGTGTGCGTGTGTGTGTTGCGCGGTGGCCCGTCGGGTCGGCCGGAAGTAAATCGGACACTGACGGCGACAGCGGCGGCGGTGGCGGCGGCGGCGACGGCGACGACTACGACGACGACGACGACGACGCGACGGCGGTGGCGGCGGCGGCGGCGACGTCCGGAGAAGAAGGACGCGCGAGAAAGTGTATAATATTATACCTATACGCGGTGAAATGTATGTTTCTCTGCGGGGCTATTATGAGTGGCTGCCGTATCACAACCACTGAACCACCACCACCACCACCACCATCACCACCACCACCACTTGGGGCCATCGTTGTATTATATACATAACGGCATCACGATCGGGACTCTTGGCGGGGGCCTAAGTCTCCCGAACGAGTTTCTAGCCGTGGGGGGAGGGGGCACCATCCCCTCGACGTTTTTCGGAGATCTTTTTAGTTTTTTTTTTTGTTTTGTGAATGGTAATGATTTCATTAATGGCTATTAGAAACTTAATATGTGCTCCGCTTAATATTTGTTTTACAGTAATATTTGAGGTGTAGTCGGTCATTACATAAATCAATGATGAATAATCTCATCGGTGAATCTTACCTATTTTATTTGATATTATGTCCATACTATAATTTCTACAAACAATAATAAATAGAAATATGCATCTCATTATTCGACGTACTTTTAAAAAATGTATATACAATAATAAAAATAAGTAATAAAAGTGAAAACATCAGTTTCTAAATTATATTACAGTTAGTAAGTGCTATCATTATTTATTGTGTGTATTTTAGAGAAAAAAAATGGTTAAGTTATGAAATATTAACCATTTTGTAAATTAATGAAAAAATATAATATGTACAGAATTTTTACTTAATACAAGTAATAAGTATGTGTCAAAAATGTATAACTCAAAGCGAACAAGGAAAGACCAGGCCACCTTATTACTTATTAGTAACACTTATTAGTTATTATAGTGTACCTTATTTGACATTTGTATACCTAGTTTATCTTTTTTTTCTATAATAAATTATTTGGGGGAGGGTTCAAGATGGTAATTTTTAAATTATAATCAAAAAGTGAAAACCGAAGTAGGTTTTATAAACAAATGGGTGCTGTAAATTGGAACATTTCTCATCATGTGCCAGTGTTATAATGCATTATATTACGTGGGTAAGTAGTAAGAACCCGAGATGATGATGAGAACATTCAGAATACTCCCAACCGAAAACATTTTCACAGACGCAAAAAAAAAACAAAAATCGAAAAACATAATAGCTGAAATATACTAGTCACATTGCTCGTTTTCGCTGAGATTCTAAAAATGATAATAAACTACTCACGGGTACCTACGGTAATCGCGAAGGAGGGGAAAAACCGGACGTGATTATAATGCAGCACTGTATAGACTCGCCGACAACAGTGCCGATACAATTAAATTTGAAAGTGTTACGAGTGGAAGACAACAATCTTTTCGTCCAAAAAGACGTTTGAACGGTTCTGATCGGAACTTGTGGAAACTATATATACTCCACACAGAGATGATAGAAAAATACAATCGATAAAAATGGCCCTTATACATCTGTATACTACATAGAGTACACGTCATTATTTGAGCAGAAAAAAAGTTCACAGAAAACGATGAAAATAAAACATAATCATCATCATCATCATCATCATCACCACGTAAAACCGAAATGTCTCTCACATCGCTTCCGTCCCTACACGTCGAACAGTTTTCCAGCGTTTTGATCGTTGTTTGCCGTTCACACGAGCTTTATAAGGGGTTTGATGTAGGCAATATTAATGAAATTTCGAGAAAAATGAAACTTTTATAGTACCTAATATATTTATGTAAGATTGCATTAAAAATTGATTAATTATTTAATAGTTCAGTAAAATTTAACGGACCAATCATGTGCCGTTAAATCACGTTTAAACTACCATTTTTATAGCTCACCATTGATTTATCAAACTTTTATTAATTGTTCATGTCAATCCGGCATCCGTGACTTACTAGACACGTCTCTAATGATCCCACAACTGTTCCATAGTAGTTAGTTGTTGTGTATTAGCCAGATTATGTAGAAAAACGGTTTCACGAAGGATTTAAGACTGAAATAGGCTATATTTATAGTCTTATAGTTAATAAATCAGTTTTTCGCCATGAAAAGATTAGAACTTTGACTGTGAAACATCGTTTTTATTTTTTCGATACCACGTCTTATAAGAAAAATGTAATTCAAGTTTAAAAATCATAAGAAGAATGGGTCCTGCAATTTTTTACTAACTTGTTTCGCTACGGTTTTTATCAAACAATTGGATGGACGTGTGACGTTTTTAATACTTATAAGTAGAGGTCGGATTTATATTCTTTTAAAATCCTTAAAATATGATGTTTGTATGTCACATAAAATAAGCAATATATTCTCTTAATATTCCTTTAAAATACCAGATATATTATGATGTTTTATGTCCTTAAATATGCAAAATATTCTTTTGATATAAAAAAAAAAAAAACAGTTTAAATTAATTTTTTATTAATTTGGTTTTAAAAATATTTAATTAAATTAATTTTACAATAACAATTAATTACTATATATTGTTCGATGTATAGTCGTGACAGCTAACGAAATAACCGTTGTGCTTTCGCAATCGATAAGGAATACCTGGAGATTAATTTTTATTAAAATCCGGAAATAAATCATTTAGTGAACATTGTATTTATCAAATGCTGATATGCGTGAAATATGTTCATTATATGCCGGGTATCACAAAAATATTCCCAAATATTCTCTAACGTGTTAAATATTCTCTAACCTCTAAAATATGCTTTTTTATGCAAAATAAATTTTTTCCTGTGAATTCTGTGTTTCATGATTCGTAAAGATTTCTCACTCCCATTTAACTGCATAAACTAGAAACAAATATGTAAAATCATAAAAATCCGACCTCTACTTATAAGTAATAACATATTAACCCAGCATCGAATGCAATAGTTGCAGGGCACATGTCTGACATATTGAACATTTTAATTATTATTTTTGATTCAACCAGAAACCGTTTATTTATCAATTTTCATTGCAATACCCATTTGAAAATGATATCAATACACTGATTTTCAGTATTTCCGTTATTTGTTCACAACTATCTTATGTAGGTACTACAGCGCAGTTTCTCGGAAGTATTTTCAATGTTTTCATATTATATAAACTATAAACATCAAGGGAAAAGAGTAAAAAAATAGGTGGGTACATAAATAGTTTTAGTTTTCGATGTATTTATGTAATTCATTCACATCAATAAGCTCAGTAAATCGTATTTAATGAGCCTAACTTATTTTAGGTGACGAATCAAGTGAATTTTAATTTGATAATAATTAAAACAATATTTAGTACCTATGTCCTATATTATATTGCTTTATTTTTTCACAAAATCAAAAATTATTTTACTAAATTTTTAATTTAAAAAAAAAAAATCGAATTTTTAATCAATTACCTAATAAGGGATGGTAAATTGATTTCTGTCCATGCATGATGGCAATACGGTTATAATATGTTCAAACGAGAAAAAAAAACTTTTATAAAACCTTACATTTAGGTATAGATATATTGTAACTTCCCAATTAAATTACACAAAAACTGTACGGTGCATCCACAATCAATATCCCTACATAATTTATAAATATATATTTATGAGTTCGCCGGTGGATGACATAACAATGAATAACACTTAACCCATCTTATTCAAAGTCAATTATCCGAATTTAATTATGTATGCATTTTAAAATAATAATTTTATTAAATTTAGTGTTCATCAAGCATTTTCTTATGAATTATAAGTTATAAGCTGTTATACATTTTTAACTAGGTGCCAATTTTTATACTTTTTGAGTTAAAATATATACTATGTATTAATAAATCATTATATATACTTTGAACTTTACAAACAAATCGGGATTTTCGCGTTGGTACATTTTCGGGTGGTGGGGGAGGTGTTGTGTGCATATACAAATACACGCCATGACGGATAGGTAGAGAATAATATAAGTGCAAAAAAGTACGATATTGTTTGTAGGATAACAATCATCACAATAATTTGATAAAAACAATTATAATCGTACAGCGAATAATATAAATCACAAAAAATTAGGAATCAAATGAATTACAACACTTATTGTTTAAAATATGAGTGGATTACATCTAGGTACTTACAGTTCATATTAGTGATGATAATTTGCAGATACGTTTTGATGACTCGTAGTTTAATTTTGAGTACTACTACACAACCTCGTCGGGGCCTGCAAATGATCGATAACCGGCTGCGGGAGTCCAGGAAAAACTCATAAAATCTCTCAACGAATACTCGATATTAATTTGTGTGGAAAAATTATTATACTGTTTAAAGACACGTGTAAGCGAATGAATTCGTTTTTTGGCCCAGTCAAGACGTCGAGCGACCGTCGTGTACATTATCATAAGAGCCTGCGTGGTTAAGTATGGTGCACGACCAACGAGTCTACAGTATTAATAAGCCGAGGGCCAAGGTTTCAAAAACGAGGGAGATTCGTTCGCTCGATAGAGAAAATGTTATCAAAAAAAAAAAATTAGTGAAAAAATCACAACAATTCAAAACTAGAGGACTATAATAATTCGTTCGGTACCACATACGGCGACTGCACGTGATTTATCGATAAATTAATGGTTTTTGCACAAAACGTTTATTGACTGGATCTCAAGCGCGTTGATAGTTTTTTTTCCAGCCCGTTTGTTTAAACCTGTATAATATCGGTTTGACGAGCGTTATAATATTCAATGAAATTAACGGTTATGCGACAACCGTGGTATAATATCATCGGTACATAATCGCTTCACAGTCTATAATGCGATGCATATATACTATATAGGTATATAATACATAGGTAGGAACTTAATCTGTCCCTGAATGGTTTCATTATATTACGCACAGTGTCAATAAAAACCTTTGAAATTGATTGATAATCTTTAATAACCTTGAAATGGAAAAAAAACCTTAGAAAAGACACCCGAAATCGTTATCATCCTAAAATTTCAAAAACAAATAATATGATATTA